ATATGCTCTCTCTCTTCTCCTTCAGGTACCCCCATGATGTGAATGCTATTACACTTGAAGTTGTCACAGACACTCCTTACACTATCCTCACTTTTTTTGGATTCCTTTTTCTTTTTGATGTTCTGACTGCATGTCTTTTGCTTCCTAAGATTCCAAATTATTGATTTGATTCTGGGCTTCATCTACTCTACTGTTAATCCCCTGTAAATTAATCACTTCGGTTAGTGTATCCTTCATTTCTTCCTGGTTCTTTTTTTTTATGGTTTCCATGTCCCTTTTTATGCTGCTGAATTTATCACTAAGTTTATCTACTCTTCCCCTAAGTTTATAGAGCATCTTATATCCAGTGTTTTGAACTCTGTCTCTAAGAGATTGTCTCCATTTTGTTTAGTTCCTTTTATGGAGTTTTGTTCTATTCTTTCATTTAGGGCATGTTTCTTTGTCCCCTCATTTTGGTAGCCTCTCTATGTATCAGGTAGAGTTGCCTAATGTAGTAGGTGTCCTTTTGGGTGGTATAGCCTCCCTGTTCACCCAAGCCAGGCACTCCAGGTGCACTCCCCCCCACACACACACAATCCCCATACAGGCTGTGTACACCCTTCTGTTGTAGTTGAGCCTTGACTGTTGTTGGCACATCAATGGGAGGGATTTATGCCCAGATCCATCAGCTGCAAGGACTGGCTTCAACTACCGCGAAGGATCGGCTACGCAGGGGACCAACCCATAAAGCAGGACTGACTTTAGTGGGGCTCTGGTGCCCATTAAGTCTGCCCCCTTCAGTGTGTTGGTTGTGGAGGTGGTTGGGTGGTGCTTCAACATGGTCTGAAGCTGTCCACCGGGTGCGATGGCTCTGAGGCCTCCTGGGAGGTGCATGCCAAGGTCGGCTGCAGCCTGTGTTCTGCCTGGGTCCTCCTGGCATGAGCTACAAAGCAATCTGTAGATGGCTACTACCTGTATCAGGTTTGGAGCTGCCCAGGAGAGCCCAAGTTGTGAACAAGGCTGGCTGCTGCTAGGGTCAGGCCTGGGGCCACTTAGTGAAAGTACAGGGCACGCCAAGGCAAAATGCTGCTTGTTTTGAGAGGTATTAGGAAAGTCTGAGGCATGAGCCAAAACAGGTCATTCATATGGAAAATCCACTGGAAACCTAGTTTGGGTTGGCCTGCAAGTTGGATGGGGCAGGGTCTCAGGGAATTACCACCAAGGCAGGGCAAACACTGATAGCCAGGTTGATGGAGACTCAGATATGGTGACCATGGCTCATNCTCCAGCCTTCACCCTAATTCTTGACAATTTGGTTCCTCCTAATATGTCCCTGGTGCCTTTCAAACTGCTGCCCCAGTGCTGGAGCTCAGAGGGAGTGAGTCAGAGTAAATCCATGCATGGGTCCTTTAAGAGGAACACCTGGACTCCAGCAGCCTTCTGTTTCACTCAGCCACAATCCTCACTGGTTTTTACAGCTAGATGGTATGGGGACTTCTCTTCCTGGCATTGAAACCCTGTGCTGGGGCAACTGGTGTAGGGCCAGGAACCCTCGCTCCTCATGAGTGACCTCCTCAGCCAAGATATCCCTTCCAATTTTTATCCACCCTATGTGGGTGTGGGAACAGCATGTTCTGCATCTCTGCCCTTCCTACCAGTCTCAATGTAGCTTCTTCTACACATCCTTACTTGTAAGACTTCCATCCAGCTAGATTTCAGGCAGTTCTGAATGATGGTTGTTCTGTAGTTTAGTTGTAATTTTGATGTGGCTGTGGGAAGATGTGAGTATGCTGCCATCTTGTCCAAATCTAATGAATTTACTTTTAAGAGCTTTTTGAGCTTAGCATTTTAATTCAGTGAATTCCTGAAAATATGCAGATGATTATCTACAGGATGGATTAGTTGCTATTGAACAGGATTTTCACAACTCAGGTGGATCACAAGACTCTGTCGTAATTCCTGAATATGGTACACTTCTTCCCCACAGGCTTTCTCTTCATCAGTGGTGTAGCAGTATGAATGAACTGACCTAACATCCTAGGATCCCACTGAGGGGTCACACTCTTTTACACACACACTGCAATCAAGAGAAAAATATATATATTTTTTAAGGACTAAGAACCCCATAATAAAAAAGGTAATAATGTAAAATCAAACCATGTAAATGTCTGTACTACATTCTATAAAGAACTCAAGAATTACAAAAGACTTTAGGAAACCTCTAGATCAACCATTTGACGCAAATTGTGCCTATCAGGTTCTTTTTCTTAGTTTAGGATTGAGACTAAATGATTAAGCATCTCTGTAAATACTCAGGAGCCTCTGAGAAGCCACATTCAACCATGATTACAAGAAAGCAGAAATAAAATGGTCAACAAATAGAGAACCATGAAGCAAAGAAAGGCAAAGGCTAGAGACTGGAAAAGTTGCAGGTTTTCCAGTCCCTGGTCCCTAATAAGGTCTGTCTGCATTTGGCTTCCATCAAATTCCTTTCTTTCTTTTTCCTAAAACTAGTTCAAGTTCATTTCTGTTACTTGAAGCAGGAGCTTAAATGAGGAAATAACCAAAATCCTCCATAATGTCAACTGATTCATTAGTGGCCTATCTTTTCTATAGTTTCCTTTCTCTTTATTTGTATTTCCTTAAAAGCCATAAATATGACTTTGGAGACCCAGGATCGTGGTGAGCATTTTTAAAGGAAACCCACCATGCCCAGGAAGGAGAAAACATAGGAATATTCAAGCAAAAGCCCTGAAATATCTGTACAGCAAACAGAGATGTTAACTGACTGGCAAATTAAATAAGTAGCTCTCTGATTACCCTCCTATTGGAAGCCAATTTAATTCTGAATAAATCAGATGGGTAGGTCCTATTCAGTCTCCTCTGAGGTATGATCAAAAGGTCGAAAACCCATATAGGGTATTTCATCTGAAATGTCCACAAATAACTAGCCACAGTCCTCCCAACCTCAGAAAGGTTTAGGTTCTCCCCAGTGGCATGCCTAACCCAGATCCAAATTCCAAAACTGAATACCAAACCATCTTAGGGCCTGGGCTTAACTATCCCCAAAGAGCACTTAGGCATTTACCCTATAACATAACTAGCACTTTCTAGTTATCAGGTAAAGGATAGAAATTTACAGAAACTTAATATTATGAAACTCTGTCCAGGTGTGTGCATGTGCAGGGTATTACGACATCCCTGAGGCAGATCCAGGCCCCCTAAAGCTGGATCCACACCCATCAGATCTAACTACAAGTAGACCAGTTTAACATGTATAGCAAGTCAGAGTTGACAATCAGAAGTTTGAATCAATATAGTGGGTGGCTCTGCAGGATTCTATAAACAAAAACAATATTATAGGATCCTGGGGCTAGAAGGGACTTGAGGACTATGTCCATCATAATTTTACAGAGAAGGAAGTTAAACATCAGAACCAAATTCATCAGCCAAATCCCTAACTATAATGAGTAACACACATGAGATAAAATCAAAGGGACTGTCACCAGATTATGATAGAACCAAAAAGCATTTGGTTCTTTATTTCAACTTTATTTCCTAAAGTTGCTCTTTAATGGTTGAAAATTTATTTTTAATTAAAAAGTGAATAAATGTATGGTAGAAAAGCCTATAAAAAGTACTGTTGGGATATTTTTTTTTAATATTTTGTTACTTGATATTAGCAAAACAGTAAACATTTCTAACCTAATGGGTTAACATTTTACTTAAGATATTAGAGCAAGCACCTTTAAAAGTCAAATAATGGGTGTGGATTCAAAACCTAAATGATGTTGTATGCTTGCAACCTTGGCAGACAGGCAGTTTAGGCACTGTGACTAAATTCTAAATGGCAGAGAGATACTTATTTTAACACAAAAAAAAATTCACACAAGGCCCTAATAAAAGTCACCAGAAATTAGACTTATGTGTCAGCTGGAACCAAAGTTAAAAGCATAAATGTTTAAATGATCTAAATATAAACTTGGTGTTCAAAATTGCTGGCAAGGGGTCACAGTATGGTGGATTTGTTCTGCAAGGGCTGTTTACCACAGTATTAGGTAAGTCAACACATCACTGAGGGAAAAAAATAACATACATCTATTCCCTGCACAATCCACTGTTTATGGTGCAGCACAGTTATTTTTTAGAAGACCACTGATAAAATGAGAAGTTAGAACTTGCTGTGCTTCCCAAGCGCTTATTAAAGTTACTCCTAAAATATGAATTCATAAAAAGTAGGTCTTTTTAAAAAACAAATTGAACCAGATACAAATATGAAATTGATATTACTACTTAAGTTAGTATTTATAAACTGCACATTTAATGAAAGTTGAATATTTTTTAAATCTCCCATTAATCTGAATTGGCAATTTTATGTTACATAAATTAAATCCTGAAGACTTTTTATAGAGAAAAAAAAACACTAACTTTTAAAATCTATTTTGCCAACCATGCTGCAAATGGAAATATGGGAAGAGATAGCCAGAGAATGCTGAATATAACCTAAGCTTAACAGAGTCAGCTTTCAGCTAATTTATGAGTCCTATTTGTTGGCCATATCTTATTTTCAACTGTTTCGTTTACTGGGGGCAAAAACAGAAGCAAACTCAAATTTCCTAAGGAATCTCAAGTCTGAGGAATTACAATTCCTGTTCCTCCATGCCAGATGAAATTAAGAACTGAGAAGCTGATAACTAGTTAGATACTGATCACAAGTAATAAAATTTCATGCAATTCCACATTTACCTCAAACTTTGTATTTGTGCTTTCAAACAATTCATTTTTATAATAATCTTATATTTAAAAACTCCTCACTGATATTTTCCACATGATTTAAAGAAAAGTATACTTAAAATATTTCTAAGAATTCAAAACTGCCCCACTTGATAGCCTAGAGTCCTAACCCAAATAATGGAACGGCGCCTTTCGTTCACATAGTTTGACTTGAAACAGTACAGGGTAAAACTTAAGAAACAGACTTCGACGCTTTTTTCCGCTTAAAAACAAGACAAAACTAGTACCTGGCAAACTCGGGGTTTTGCTCGGTCCTGGCCTATTAAATACCAGCCGGCCGGCGGGAGCCTGAGCGGGCGGCGCGGAAG